TTTAATAGTAATAGCGACATAATTTAACCAAATAGTTGATTTCCCAGCAAATTATAGCGATAGGGTTATTATTTCTCCAAGCAAGGTAAAAAATATAAGTAAAGTAAAATAATAATAATAATAATAAAAATAAAAGATAAAAAATAAATAAATTCTTTATCATCTTTTTTTTCCTACCTACAGAGTATCATATAGCAACAGTAAATATGAGATGATGCCAATGCTTCCTATTATCAATATCAAGCACATTCATTTTATTTTTTTTTGGGAATGATTTTTAAAGAAATCCGACAAAGCATGCATGCACATGCACACAAAATGAAGGGGACCAAATAGAGACTCAACCACTAAAATTTTGGATGGGACCATTATCCTATATGGTAAAGAAGCTCAGGTCAAATCATCAAGGGTTTATTTTCAATGCTGCCAAATTTTCTCACCTGGATGTGGCTTTTTTCAAAATTAGTTCCTCGAATTTTGTTTCTACATGATCTTAGCTAAGGATGTTAGCCGAAATGGTTTTTGAAAAAATCAATTTCGGCAATCAATTTCGGTTTTACAATAAAATATTCTTTATATCAATAGACATAAAAAAATTACTCAGGATTTTGGCTATTGAATTAAAGTGTTCAAATAATCTCAGATATAATTTCAACAACTAATGAAGTTGATTTTGGTAACTATTTCAGCATTTCGGATTCGGCAATGATCATTTATTAAGAGAGGCAATTTTGGCTAGCATGCTTAGTTATTACCATTGACAAAACCCAAAAAGGACCCATACAAAAATTTATTTAACAATATTACCTTATTGGAACAATTCAATTTTTCCCTCAATATAGTGCGATTTTGAATCTGTAAAGGAGAATAGAGATTGGCCTTCTTATAGGGTATATGTCAATGGTAATTATAAAGATTATGAATTCTATTCACCAAGTATGGAGCATTTGTAAATAATAGTGAAATGAATAAGTTAAAGGAATGTTATAGTGCTATTTATGATTTAAATAACAGATATATAAAGGTGATTATTTAATTCAATTTCTATTTCTTATATTTGAATATATATTTATTTTTTTGAT